TACAACTCATTCAGCTTGATAGCTGGACACCTACGAGTTGTTGGTGGTGTCCTTAGTATAACACTCTCATTCTTCGATGAGTGTGCTTCCCCTTGGGAATGCAAATTGGTTATTTTATCAAGAGTGGCCCGTCAATCTTACGCCTTTTGCTGAGCGTATGACTGAACGGGTCTTTTAAATCGCACTCTCATCCTATGCGTTCGGTGATAGGGCTTTCCCTTTGTTTTTTTTATTGGGGGGATTAAATCGACCACCAGTCTGATTTGAAAACTTGGGGGGGACCTTTCAATGGTCCCAGTCGTTCTTTGACGCGGTACCTCTACTCGATTCGCCGGTAAGGGACCGAGGTGAACTGTCAAAGGAACCTGGGGATCTTGAATGATCCCCCTTTCTTATTGGCGCCGTTGAAGGTGCCGGTGATGGTGAAACATTTGACCTGATTTTTGAGTGAGCTTTGGGCGATGTTTCACCTTCTTTGCTGGAAGTGTTGGTTTCGATTTGGAACCCAACCGTTTGCTTTGGTTCGGCGTTTTGACCGCCGTTTTCTTGTGATTTCTTCGCCTTCTTAGGAGACGGCATGCGGCGAAGTAAAAGCACGGCGCTTCTTGATTCGTCTCGTCGAGCGTGGAGCTGGTTCCTTTGACACGGATCACTCACTCGTTCGTTTTGGAGGGGGAGGTTGATTGCTTGCGTTGCTTCTGTCGCTGCCTTGACTTTCCAGTCCTCTGGTATAAGCGCACTCCATCTTTTGACTTCCCCTTGGCCTTGGCGAGTTGTTTAGCAAGGCGTTGACGACGCCTTTGGAGTGCCCTTTTGGACGAATCGAGCAGTTTGCATCATCCATCGCTTTGAGGTTATGGAGGCCGGATTGCCTGTCTTTTGACACGCTGAGGCAACATGGGGACGTTTGCGTGGTGCAAGGCAGCGGAGGGCTCTTGGGTTCTTTGGTTGGAAGTCCACGACGTTCTGGAAGCGGATGTCTTCATGCGCCGCGTTCGGGGGGCAGATCTTTGGAGGAGGAGAGGAGAGGTATTCTTTTCGAATTTCTTCTGGTCGAACTCGTATTTCGACCTCTTTCATTAACCGCGATCTTGAAGGCTTGGTTGCGTCACGACGATCTCGGTGGCGAGATTCGTTGGGCTGCCACTGTGTCGCCAGGCTGTTTTCGGTAAAGTCGTGTTTTCATTTGATATTCTCTTTTTGAGATCTGTTACAACTAAGCGTTACAACAGAATAAAATGAAAACAAAAAGATATTACAACTTAAACGAACAATAAACACGAGGGTTCCGGTTTTTGGTTGCGGTCTCGCTTGCGTGGGTTGTTGGCCTGTGACCGGGGATGTCAGGATATCCGTGGACCGCGACTCTTCAAGATCTCTTTTCCGGTATAATCCGGCAGATTTTCGTCTATCCGCGAAGGGATATGAAAAGAACCCGTCGATCCGCGTTTGAAGATCTCAGAGGGTAGAGCTTTGTCTCGGCTAAAACGAGACACTAGCTCTCTTTGTATCACCGATAAGTGCAACACTAAGGGAAAAGAAGGGGGGTGAATGAAGGGGCTGCACGAAGAAATCCTTGACTCTCAATCCGGGCAGGGCTTCGCGCGTCTCTAGAAAACCCCGACTCCTTTCTCCGGCAGGCTTCGCGCTCCTCTTCTGAAATTTCAGATCTCAAAGGCTAAAGCTCTAGATCTTGAAATTGTCTCTCAAACCAAGCCAAGAGAATGGAGCGCCTCTTAGGGGGCCTATTGTATAGGAAAAGAAAAGGGAGTAGGGTCTGGTGAGGACACCCCTTAGGGGTGTCTCGGCTTCCAAACGAGACACCCTTTGGGGTGTCTCGGCCAAGTGGAACCGGCACCCTTGGGGGTGGTCCTCGGCCAGTAGCCGATGACACCCCTTGGGGTGTCTCGGCCATAGCGAACACCCCCTTAGGGTGTCTTCGGCAAGGCCGAGACACCCCTTGGGGATGCTCGGCATAGCGAGACACCCTTGGGGTGTCTCGGCCATGGCGAGACACCCCTTGGGGCTGTCTCGGCAAGCCGAGGACACCCTTGGGGTGTCTCGGCCAAGGCCGAGACACCTCTGGGTGTTCGCCTGCCGAGCACCATGGGGTGTCTTCGTCCGCCAAGGACACTTCGGGTGTTTCGTCCTGCCGGGATGCCCGCGGGTGTCTCAGTCTGCGTCGAGGCCTTCCGGGTGGTTTTTGCCCCATTGATTCGCCGTCCCAATCGGATCGTGAGTGATTTCGGATGCGTTGGAATACTTGACGACGAGCTCTGGTAGGCCCCGACGGTTGTTCTCTTATCAGTGGGGTGATCGGACACGGCGGGCGCTCGGTCTATTGCGTGATTCGCGGGGTTTTCGGTCAACCCGTATCCCGGTTGATTCTGAGATCTGTCGGCTCACATAAACCCGTCGGTTTGCTTCAATTTGCTACCAGTGTCATTTGAATTCTTGAATGATACCGGGTTAGTGACGTTCAATACGTCGCATCGTTAACACGAGTGTAGTGGGGGAACCTATCGCGCAATTTTTGATGCCTACACCCCAGCCTGATTGTAAACTCGCTGACGTTGCCGTCGGAGTAACCTATCGGCTGCTCACATGGGTTCTCAGGTATAACGCGTTCGTCTGTCCGACGCGTCTTCTTCTGAGTAAACATTGCCTTGTTGGCCTCTGCAAGAGTCGCACGTTTGGAATCACTCCTTTGTGAGGGTGAAACCTTAACGGGCTCTTGGTCCTTTGCACGCACCGCCGAGCTGGTTGTTGCAGAGATCGATTTGTTAGGAGATCGTGTACGACCCCCAGTCTGGATGTTGGCTCGAAGCTCCTTCAACGATCCCCAGCTTTCCTTGACAAGCGCTTTTCCTCGATTCTCGGGTAGAGCGTCGATACGGTTGTTCAGAGGATTCTTGAATTTGGGGAGATCCACGCTGAGGTGGGGCTTTACCGAAGGTTCGGGACCTGAAATTGACGAAGGTTGGAGAGCAATATTACCTGCTTTTACCTTAGGCGTTGATTCGGCCTTTGGCATCCAAACTCGTTCGGACCTCGGCGATCTCTTAACGGCCTCTCCCTTTAGCATTTCTCGTGCTTTTTGGACCAGGGCTCGGGCATGCGCACGCAAGGCGCGGCGCTTCTGGATTCGCTCCTCGAGAGTAGAACGGGTTCTTTTGACATGAACCCATTTGTTTGTTTCTGCTTCGGAGGAGGGGCTGGTTGTTTGCCGTGGTTGCTCCTGGCGTTGCCTGGATTTTAGATCCACGTTATAGCGGATCCCATCCATTGGCTCCAAAGCCTCGGCAAGTTGTCGAGCAAGACGTTGACGTTGTCTTTGTCGTGCTCTCTTTGATAATGCCGGAGCGTCTTCAGAAGTCATCTCCTCGGCGGAAGAGGAATCCGGATCTGCGATCTCGACCAGGTTGGACGACGTGGGGACGTCGCGTGGTGCAAGTGCAGAGGCGGCAACGGGGTCTTGGATTTTTGAACCGAAGGACCTGCAAACATTTATGAAAGAGGTTACCTTTCTGTACCCGTTTGGAGAGGCGGATCTGGAGGAGGAGGAAGAGAGGCCTTCTTTGAACTGTTGTTGATCGAGCTCGTGTTCTTCATTCACCCCGATCTTGAGTGCTGGTTGCGTCACGACGGCGTCGGTTGCGATGCCGTTGGCTCCCACTGTGGTCGCCAGTCTGTTTGCGGAAAAAGTTGCTGTATTCATTGCTGCATTCATTACAACTTCAATCGTTACAATGAAATAAAAAGATAGCCTTTTTATAAGACCGGTACACAATGAAAACAAAATAAATACAACTCTTTTCAAACAAACGCAAGATCTGTTTGTCATCTCTTGCTTGCGTGGGTCTTTTGCCTGTGACGGGGACGTTGATATCCGTGGACCACCGGGGCACTCAGATCTGGTCCGGATAAATCGGACAGAGGTTCGTTGATCCGCGTGAGATCTAGAAACTTTCTGATCCGGATAAATCGGACAGAGCTTCGTCTATCCGCGGAGGGATATAGAAGCAGAGCTTCGTCGATCCGCGTGAGATCTAGAAGCTATAAGCGTATACCTCGGCTAAAGCGAGGTAATAGCTCTTCTTAGTATCAACGCTAAGGCCGATACTAAGGTGATGTAGGCCACTCCTCCTCTCGTTGAAGCACACGGGCACTCTTCACTGCAGCAGGGCTTCGCCAAGGCTCTCCAAAAATCCTCCTCCTCAAAATAAAGGCAAATGGGTCTATTTATAGGCAAATCAAGAGGGGGGGCATCAAAAGTGAGGACACCCCTTGGGGTGTCTCGGAATTTCCGAGACACCCCTGGGGTGTCTCGGAAATTCCCGAGACACCCCAAGGGGTGTCCTCACGTTTGTGGTCCCCTAGCCCCCTCCTAAAGCCTATAAATAGCCCCCCTTGGTGCCTTGATTTGGGAGGGATTTTTGGAGAGCCTTGGCGAAGCCCTGCTGCAGTGAAGAGTGCCCGTGTGCTTCAACAAGAGGAGGAATTTTGGAGACCTTGGCGAAGCCCTGCTGCAGCGAAGAGTGCCCGTGTGCTTCAACAAGAGGAGGAATTTTGGAGACCTTGGCGAAGCCCTGCTGCAGCGAAGAGTGCCCGTGTGCTTCAACAAGAGGAGGAGTGGTCTACATCAGCCTTCATCGCCCGTCAGATCCTTAGTATTGGCCTTAGCGTTGATACTAAGAAGAGCTATTACCTCGTTTTAGCCGAGGTATACGCTTATAGCTTCTAGATCTCACGCGGATCGACGAAGCTCTGCTTCTATATCCCCCCGCGGATAGACGAAGCTCTGTCCGATAATATACCAGAAGACTTGAATTGGCTAAGCAAGACAAGTCTGAAACCTTAACCCCCGCGAAGGAGGGTGTCGGTTCTTCCTTCATGACCCGCGAAGAGGTCAATCAGGGATACGGAAAATGTGAATTCTCACCCCCAAAGAAAGAGGCCGCTGGAAAAGACGTCGCGGGAACCTCTTCCTCGCTATGCTGCTAATGAGAACGACTCCTACGAGGTCGAGATCGGCGTGGAGACATTGAAATCTGCAACAAAAAGCAGCAAGTCAGGTACAAATATGAATACACGAAATTTAAAAGGGAAATTAAGAACTTTAATTAAAATCCTATGTATAAATAGGATTTCATAATTGAAGTCTAGTTAAACCTACAAATTTCGTGCATGCGAAACAATGATTGTCATTTTTCGCGGTGAATTTTGGTGAAATACCCAAAATACCCTTCGTGTTCAAGGCTAAAATTCGGGTCAAGGACACGCTCGGGTTGGGTCATGGTCATCATATCTGATCATATAGCACCCCCCGATACCCCCACAATTTTGGTTAATTTTACAAATGAGCCCTTTTGTAGAATTTAGCCAATTTTGTAAATAAACCCCTCTACACTTTGTGGGTTGCAATTTTGCATAAAAGCCCCCTCCAATTTTCGGCCATATTGTAACTTTACATAAAGGCCCCCCAATTTTCAGCCCTAAATTTCAGCCCTTTTGCAAATAAACCCCTCTACACTTTGTGGGTTGCTTTTTTGCAAATAAACCCCTCAAACAACATTGGTTTTCTTGCATAAAGCACCCCTCAAATTTTCGACCAAGTGGACATGCAATCCAAGACCTAATTTCAGTCCAATTTTGCAACAAAGCCCCACAAAATTTCGGCCCTATTTGTAACTTTGCATAAAACCCCCCAAATTCTTGTGCATACACAACCCATCATCAAAGAGCCTATCCTCTAACTCATGGTAACATAAAGCTACAATCTTGTCAAAAAAAAAGATATCTTGTGAAGGGAAACTTACCAAATCAAGAGGCTTTTCTTGAGCTTGAGGATGAAGGAGGAACCCTAGCTTGAAAGGAGATCAAACTCGGCCAAGAGGGGAATAAAAATCCGAAAACTTGGTATGGGTTTTGGAGAGGAACAATGGTGGAAGGATGAGAGGGAGAAGAAGGAGTTTAAGAGGGAATCCTTGTTTTTTGAATTTTGAAAAGAGGGGGAAACAATAGGGGAAACAAACAAAAGAGAAAAAGACAAAAAAGGGGGGGGTGTCTCGGCCCTAGAACCGAGACACCCTAGGGTGTCTCGGCCTTGGCCGAGACACCCCAAGGTGTCTCGGCCAAGGGTGAGACACCCACGGGTGTCTCGGGTCCCATTTGTCCCCGTATGCCTATATATGGACCCGAATTCGCTTGTTTTCATCAATTATTGGATGTCTTGATGAAAATCGACACCAATTAACATTCGATGCGCAAAACCCTAGGGTCAACGCCGGTCAACGCGTAACCCTAGGTCAACGCTAGTCAACGCGTTGCAACCAAAGTCAACGTTTGACGATTCGAAACCCTAAGGGTCAACGCCGGTCAACGCGTAACCTTAGGTCAACGCCAGTCAACGCGTTGCAACCAAAGTCAACGTTTGACGATTCGAAACCCTAAGGGTCAACGCCGGTCAATGCGTAACCCTAGGTCAACGCCAGTCAACACGTTACAACCAAAGTCAACGTTTGACGATTCAAAACCCTAAGGGTCAACGCCGGTCAACGCGAAACCCTAGGTCAACGCCAGTCGACGCGTTGCAACACAAGTCAACGTTTGACGATTCAAAACCCTAAGGGTCAACGCCGGTTAACGCGGTAACCCTAGGTCAACGCTAGTCAACGCGTTGCAACCAAAGTCAATGTTTGACGATTCGAAACCCTAAGGGTCAACGCCGGTCAACGCGTAACCCTAGGTCAACGTTAGTCAACGCGTTGCAACCAAAGTCAACGTTTGACGATTCGAAACCCTAAGGGTCAACGTCGGTCAACGCGTAACCCTAGGTCAACGACAGCCAATGCGTTGCAACAAAAGTCAACGTTTGACGATTCGAAACCCTAAGGGTCAACGCCGGTCAACGCGTAACCCTAGGTCAACGCCAGTCAACGCGTTGCAACACAAGTCAACGTTTGACGATTCGAAACCCTAAGGGTCAACGTCGGTCAACGCGTAACCCTAGGTCAACGCCAGTCAACGCGTTACAACCAAAGTCAACGTTTGACGATTCAAAACCCTAAGGGTCAACGCCGGTCAACGCGAAACCCTAGGTCAACGCCAGTCGACGCGTTGCAACACAAGTCAACGTTTGACGATTCGAAACCCTAAGGGTCAACGCCGGTTAACGCGTAACCCTAGGTCAACGCCAGTCAACGCGTTGCAAACAGAGTCAACATTCGACGATCCAAAACCCTAAGGGTCAACGCCGGTCAACGCGTAACCCTAGGTCAACGCCAGTCAACGCGTTGCAACACAAGTCAACGTTCGACGATCCAAAACCCTAAGGGGCAACACCGGTCAACGCGTAACCCTAGGTCAATGCCAGTCAACGCGTTGCGACAAAAAGTCAACACACGATGATCTGAAACCCTAAGTCAAACACAATGTGACGGAGGTAGTTCAAAGTCAACTCAATGACACGAGCCAAACTCAATTCATCAGCTGCAGACTCGAGACTCCGACGACGGCCAAGCGATAAACGCAGCGCCGGAAGAACTTCGGCTATTCGTCAAAGCATCGAATAGACCGAAAATCGAAGGAGCCAAGAGTTGAAGCTAACTACAGGTCCTTACGCCGACTGAAGGCTAGACCAATCACATCCAAAGTATTCCAGCCTCTTCTATAAAAGAAACGAGTCCGGAACGCTTTGGAGGGGGTATCTGTAGGCATTGAAAATTGCCTATAGGTCTCCACGAACGGTTCAGTGTTAAAGAGCGACGATGAACGTCACTATCCGATCCACAGGAGTCCAATTGACGTCGATGAACGATTGAAGTGAATCGACGTACTACGTGAGTTGATAGGGTTTCGGAACAACGAAGACCCGGGCCAATCGGGAACCCGGCAATGTTCACAAAAAGGACAACGCCCTTCATGTCTCGATCACTCTACAGATAGTCCAACCACCGGAATGGATCGAACTCTTCGTCAAGCATCCAACACACTTGGAATCACTCAAATCCGAGTTCGGACGAAGAATTTACGACGAAAACAATCAAACATACGCAACGGAGCGTCTCAGGCTGAGTTGGGACACCCGGGGTGTCTCGGGAAAGCCGAAACACCCCAGGGGTGTCTAGGCACCCTAGGTGCTCCTATTGCCTATAAATAGCCCCCTAAGGCCTCATTTTTGAAGATCTGGATTTTTGGGAGAGTTGGCGAAGCCCTGCTGCAGTGAAGAGTGATCGAGCGAGGTCTTCATCGGATTCTTCATCACCCGTACCCGTTCCTTAGTATTACCCTTCGCCGGTAATCACTAAGAAGAGCAGATATCTCATTTTAGCCGAGATAGACGCTTCAGGCTTCTAGATCTCCTCGCGGATCGACGAAGCTCTGTCCGATTTTTCCGGAACATATCTGAGTGCTAGGTAGTCCACGGATATTGACGTTCCCGTCACAGGCCAAAGACCCACGCAAGCAGAAGACCGATAAACGATCTCTGCGTTTGTTTTGACGAGAGTTGTAACTTTTGTTTTCATTGTGTAAAAGTCTTATAAAAAGACAATCTTTTTTTTGATTTCATTGTAACGACTAAAGTTGTAATGAATACAGCAATGAATACAACAATTTTCGACGCAAACACCTTTGACATGAAGGATTTGGGCTCGGCATAGCGGATTCTTGGTATGGATATTGCTCAGGACAGGAAATCCAGGAAGTTGTGGTTATCACAGGAGAATATGTTGAACGGTTACTTGATAGATTGAACATGAAAGATGCCAAGTCAGTCAGTACTCCTCTTGCAGGTCATTTGAAGCTTAGCAAGAAATTTTGCCCAACTACAGATGAGGAAAAGAGTGAGATGAAGAATATTCCTTACTCTTCGGCTATAGGGAGTTTGATGTATGTCATAGTTTGCACTCGGCCAGATATAGCTCATGCAGTTGGTGTTGTGAGCAGGTTTCTTTCTAATACAGGGAAAGTTCATTGGGAAGGTGTAAAATGGATCTTAAAATATTTAAAAGGCAGTTCTAGATTGTGTTTGAGTTTTGGAGGTTCGAAGACAGTATTATATGGTTTTGCATATGCGGATATGGTAGGTGATCTTGATCACAGGAAGTCTACCTCAATTTGGTTGTTCACTTTTGCAAGGGGAGCAGTATCTTAGCAGTCCAGATTGCAAAAGTGTGTTGCTTTATCTACAACAAAGGCGGAATATATTGCAGCTGCAGAAGTTTTCTACATGGAGCAACCGGTAAATAGATGATTTGGTTGAGAAGATTTCTACAGGAGTTAGGCTTACAGCAAGACAATTATCAAATCTTCATTGATAGTCAAAGTGCTCTTGATTTGATCAAGAATTCTACATTCCATTCCAGGGCGAAACACATTGATGTGAGATATCACTGGCTTAGAGAAGCTGTTGAGAAAGAAGAGCTGAAGTTACAGAAGATTCACACAGATGAAAATCCAGCAGATTTTTTAATGAAGACTGTTTCCATAGAGAAGACCGAGTTGTGTTGGCGATTGGCCGGCATGAACTCCCGATGAGTAGTTACAGATTGGCGTACTCCCTCGTTGGGCTGGAGGGGGAGATTGTTGTGGGTCCAGCCTAAGATAAGGCCTTATATGAGGAGGTCTACATGAATTAGAATTTTATCTATAAGAAGTCTACATGAATTAGGATTCTATATAGAAGAGGATTTGGAGGATCTATTTGAAATAGGAATAGCTTTGGAGAATTATATATAAGAGAGCCCTGAGATCAATATTTATATCAACAGTTTTTTTTTGGTGAATAGTACTTTGGGGCTACAGTAACCACAGGGGTGCTACAGTACCACGAGGAGAGAGAAAAGAGAGAAGAAAAAAGAGAAAAGTTTAGATTTCGGATAGCTCAGGTGTCCGATTGCAGTGATTCAAAAGCCGTTGTCTTCAGAACGACGACGCCGTCGAGGGTACGATGTTGATTTCTCCACGGGAATTTGAGATTTTTGGTGAGACATGTTTTAGGGTTTTGGTGCCCTAAAGGTAACCCCGTATCTTTCTCTTGTGATTTAATCCTCAAGTTGAGGTGTTACTTGGAGGGATTGTACTCTTAATTCATAGTGAAATATTTCTCTCTGGATTGCCCCGCGGACGTAAGCACGATTTGCCGAACCACGTTAAATCTTAGTGCTTGTTTGCTTGTGGTATTTTCATTAGTGCCATTATTCGTTTAGTGTTTAATTCCGCAGATTAATCTCCATAAAATCCCCAACAGTTGGCGTCGTTCGGCAGGTGATTGTGTTGTCAAACAGTGGTTCGGATTTGGGTGCAACTGTGATGGCGACGTGCAGCGACCAGCGATTGACGACGACAT